GTGCTGTACACCCATCTGAGAATAAAACAATCGGCATCAGTTTTTCTTGAAGGGTTTTTATCAGACAATCAATGATATACGCTACAAAACCGAGGCCACCAAACCAGCGTGTGTTCATCAAACCAGTAGCAATAAATGTTGGTAGCTAATTAAATACAGCGAAATTGTCCAACACAATTTATAATATAATGCGCTAGCATCTAACTTAGGACATAAGTTTTCAGATTGGAGATCATGAGTAAATAGATGTACTTCTCATGCCATTGCTCTTGTCCTTTTCTTCTCTTCTCTAACGAAATCTTTATGAATAATGTGGTTTCGATAGGTATTTTCATTTAAACTTTCTACTATAAAAGCACAACATGTGTCACACTGATCTTTCTTCAATTGAAATAAACTTAGATTTTGTTCTGTATCAAAAGACTGTATCAAAAGCCTATCAAAAGACCAGCGGCTGACAGCTTGCTTATTTTCTTCAGTACACCTTTTGCAATAAATGTTGTAAACCCGATTTTTATTTTCTATAATAGGCTCTAAATATTGTTTGGTTGTAGTAGCTCACTTCTAAGGAGAGGCCTATGTCCAGCAGTGGGCTATTAAAGGCCGTTGATGTGATGTGATGTGTGATGTAGTAGCTCTACATTCACATCTACGGCATTTAAGGTAATGTCTTAAAGGCTGTTTTAAAGGTGGTACGTGAATTTCAGGCTCCATCTCTTCAGCAGCTAATAAAACATCAAATAACAAAAGTTAGATTATTGATATAAATCAATATTTTCAAAATTCATTGTTTGTCGTTTATTGTTCTTTCGTACTTTTATTCTTAGTTTATTGCAACAGTAAACTAACGCTCAGTAAACAATAAGAATGATAAAGATAAGCTAAAAAGAACCATTATGATACCAATGTCAATCATATTTACCTTATTTTTCAATAAAATTCTTCAGAGTACTTGTCGCCACGCGTTAAATAATGGAATAACACTGTGTTACGCGCTATTGCTTTCTGTACAACACTGACTCATTATGGATAGATTGTTTGAACTATGAAATACAGTAATTTTGTAGCAATTCTTAAAAAGCAGCTGAAAAAACCTTTTTATTACTGACACTATATTATTATACGGGTGAAGACTGTTATCTTCTACTACGGACACTTTTGTACGCCGTATTAAAAAAAAGCGCAGTCACTGATGCTAAATAAATAATTTGATAGTCATTTTTTTAACTCTATCCCATGTGTAGAATGGATTTTAATCCGTGAAGAACGTTGTTGTATTTTAAATACACATTTAGTTCATTCGCATCAAGAAGATAGTGACGTATGGATCAAGCCCTGACCAATCAGGTTCCAAGCTTTCATACGAACCGATAATTGCTTCTTCTCTCTTTATCCTTCTACACACATCAAAAAAGTCGAAGCAACACGCATAATTTTCTTTGATTTTTTTTTTATTTAACAACATAGATTCGTATACAATCTTTTTTATTCACCGAAACATATACTAACATATTACTGCCTGTTTTTTCAATATAAATGTTTTGATTGTGTTTTGTTTTCCTTAAAATAAAAGTTTATTATTTTGCCCGATTTCATGTTTTCGGTGCTTCATAACTTAATCATAACTTTGGTATTTATATCACTTTCATCATTTTGAGATAAGTATACAGTTTTTGAAAAAAATAAGTGGCGAGTGATTTTGTTATCATTTGACTGCTGACGAAATGCAGAGCTGTAGGAACGCTACAAGCGGGAAGAAATCAGTCCTAGGAATCTCGGCATTTTGGTGTCAATATAAGCGTGTTTTGTCGCGCATTATGTATAGGAGATTCTGCTGAGCAGCACCCAGGACGTGGAAGGAGTATAACTGCTCGACAGGACCGATACATACAAGTGACTGCAAGACGTCAGCCGATGTTAACTGCCCAGGAGATAGGTTCAAAGCTAAAATTCTAAAGTGGTATTGTTATTGGTCGCCTAACCGTGAGAAACAGGCTGCATGAATACGGCCTACGAGCACGACGCCCGATTAGGTACCAACCTACACGCCATTGGAATCGCACCCGTCGAAGCAAATGGTGTAGGGACCATTTTATGAGTCCCGGTTTGAATTTAGACCTGATACGAGAAGGCTAAGAGTGTTTCGTATTGAATGGCTAAGATGCGTCCAGGAAGTGCACCCCTACAGTGGCTCCATAGTGATGGTATGGGCGGGTATTATGAAGTACAGACGAATTGAGCTCGTTTTCGTAGATGGCAATATGAACGCTGAAACTTACGTTGAAGATGTCCTCGGATCTTATAATATTTTATTTTATAATGTTCACCCATTTGCACAAAGTCTTAGCTGAGATTTCACGCTAATACATGACAATTCGCGTTCGTACACAGCTCGGACGACCAAAGAATACTTCGCAATGGAAAACATTCGGGTATTGCCGTGGCCTATACAATCGACAGACTTCGATCCCATCGAGCACGCATGGGACATGCTCTAGCTAGAGACGTATTCTACAGAACCTGCACAGAGTGTCGACAACCCAACAACTGTAAGACTTGTTAAAATTCCATTGCAAAGCGATTGCCGCAGGATCAGATAAACAATCTTATAAATTCAATGAAAAATCGTTGCCGAGAGGTTTTTAACAACAGGCGGTCACTTTGATAGAAATACTAAATAATTTTAAAAAATTACATTATTTAATTTAACTTTATTTTATGCTATGTGTGTTATGGTACACATATTGTTAATTATTGTGATGAAATGAACAATTGAATGAAGGATTTTGTTGCTTTGGTCAATAATGCATCAAGGAATGCTTTGGTTATTGTTTATACAAGAAAATATAAATCTATTACCATTGTAAAAATCGTTTTAAAGATCAAAACCGTACATGTTGCTTTGACTTTTTTTATGAGTGTATTTTATTAACTAATGGACTATTGCTTCTTCACTAGACTCAATCCGATAAAATTAAATATATTTCTATTTAAGAAAGGCTCAATACCTACACAAACAAAAATACCTTTATCTATTTCATACAAACTTTATTTAAATCAAAAAATAAAATCTACAATAATCCTTTTACTTTCAATTATGTATAGTAATAAAATTTGTTTTTAGCATCTCAATCTATATCGTTACCAATTAACTGTCGTAACCGTTAGTTACGAGCCACTCCTCCAAGGCAATGTTACCCTCCTAGTTACAAAAGTGTTACCAATTCTTTCGTTATTAACTTGACATTCTGTCCCTTACAGGTATTCGAACAAAAATATTAACTAAACTATACAGTTTCTTGATTTCACAATATAAGCGACAGACTGTCAATCTTTAAAATCTTTACACAATTAGCTTAACAAATTATATTAAATTCTCTTTTACAGCTAAATTACAATGCATAAATTTTATTTTCAATAAAAATACATATCTCAATATATCAAAGAACACTTTTACCTATGTATTTGTTGTCGGTAACAAATGAGGCACATTATTATTACATACTTTTTCATATTTATTCTATTAATATGTACATAACTTGGACTCTTAACTTAATATTACTTCTTCAGTCCATTCTTAGGTACATCTATTCAAATCGTCTTGTTTCTGTTAAAAAAAATATGTATCTTCTTTGACAGTTGTCAACAATATTGCATTCACGCTAAACCTTTTTTTGGTTATTAAATAAATCAATGGTCTCATAATCACATTATTTCAATAGTTAAATTTAAAGTGGAGGTGGATAGTGTAAGTCATTATTTATAAACATGGATAACTATGAGAGGAGATCTATTTATGAAAGTAAACTAACAATGGTTCATGCACCAAGAACTTAACATTAACTGAAAAATAACATACTGAGTTTCATTCTTGTCTTGTAGAACTATTTTATTTTATACTAAAGATATGTTAACAATGTAAACCGATACACCTCAGCTCTCTAGAGCTCTGTAACTAATCAATTATGTCGGCACTGTTAAACAACGTTCACTATATAGTCCTATAACCAATAAAGCTTAATTAGGAAGTACAAAACACAATTCTTTTCCTAAAAGAATAACTTCTCCAATAATTTTTTAGGTAAAATACATATTAGCACAATTTAAACAAATATTTTGGTGTTAACCTTATAAAATGTAACTGTACATTTTTATTCAATATGGTACTAGAAATAGCACTCCTAACAGTAATAATATTTCGACAAAGCACTCTTGGTAGTTTTATTAACGGTAAATGTATATTAAAGAATGTATCTATTTCAATATAGATAACGTATCGCATGGAATAACTATCAGTATATTAACAAGATATTAAAATTTACATGTCTCTAAAATGTGAAATATGGATCATCTCAACATACGTTATTTTAAATCTAAAGTGTCGCATGCCTAGACAGAACGTAAACAGTCAAAATATTATGATATTGTAGCTCCCAATTTTACATCGACGGAGCCGTGGATGGAGAAGGCGTCATTCATAAAAGTCTATTTATAAACGTGTCCTATGTGTATAAAATCACAATATATATCGTACTTTGCTTTATAAGGCAGAATATCTATACGGAAGTTACTACGTAGCCTCTGACTCGACGTCAATAATCAAATTCAGATTCATAATTTGCCTAGGGTTAAATGCATTACGATAGCAACTATAAATATAGAGAAAATAAATATCTACTAGGACTAATAAAACCTCCTGGTCCACGTGGTAAACTTACACGTTAAATATAGAATATTTTTTGTACTATACGTTAACGTCGACGGCGGCCGCGAGACGTCTCGAGGTCGCGAACGTTCGCTGCCACCACTCGAGCGGTCCACGGAACGAAACTTCACAGAACTAAACGGAAAACTATCTACCGACCGGACGCGCCGGTAACTTTTAAAAAACAACAACATAAAAATTCAACCGTATACAACGCAGTCATCTTTGGATTCCACCTCGACGGCAAACCGCGACATCGAAACCGCGACCGGCGGACCGGCGAAGACCACCCGCGCTACTTGGCCAACCGTCGCCTCAGGCGATTGCGCAGCGCCAGGGCCGGCGCCCACGGGCCCGTCGCGCGCTTGCCGAGCGCGCGGGCGCAGCGCTCCGGGGCCAGGCGAGCGGCCTTGCTGGCGCCGCCGCCGGCCCCGTCGTCGCCACAACGAGCCCGCTTGCAGGCGCCCGTCTCGCGTATCATCCGCACCGGTTCCCCTGCGTCGTTGCGAGAGCGGAGGGCGCGCGGCCTCACGGCAGGAGCGGGCGCGCCGGCGCACGCGTCGGGCGGCGGCGGAGCGAGCGGCTCGCCCGTGGTGGAGTGCACCTCGGTCTCGTCGCGGGCGCTATCCGCGCGGCGCGTGCGCGGGCGGGGCGCCGGGGGCGAGGGCGAGGCGGCGGGCGCGGCGCGGGCGCGGGCGCGGCCCCTCGCGGCGCCGAGGTTCTCCTTCGAGCGGTCCGCGGGGGGGCGGCGCGCCGCCGGGGCCCGCCGCGCCGGGCCCGGGGCGCGCGCCGAGTTTCCCGCCCGCGCACCGGCCGCGGCGGCAGCGGCCGCTGCAGCGCCGCGCAACTCACGCGCGTACATTCCTATACTACGTGTGATCTTCTGAGCGAGCGGGGTGACCCCTGCCGCACCCTGAGAACGAGTGGCACGCGGTCCGCCCCGTTTTACGTCCTCCTCGACTGTGACCGATTCGTTCGGCGCCGGAGTGACGCGACGAGTGGACGGGCGAGGATCCGTCACGATCGCGGTACGGTCGGTTCGCGGCGGAGGAGGCGGCGGCGGCGGTGCGGCCGCAGGTGTGGACCTTCGCGTAAGTATGACTACGCGATCGACGGGCGGCGCCGGCGACTGAGCCGGAGGACGTGAGCGAGTGGCGGCCTGGCGCGTGTGAGGGCGCGGGGCCGGCTCCGACTCGTAGTGAGAGCGGAGCACCCGGTCTGGGGCGGCGGGTGGCGGTTCCCGACGCATATCTGTGCGCGGGCGACGACCTCGGGGCCGCGACGGTCCTTCAGTGGGAGAGCTGGAGGACACTTCGTTGATTTGTATTCCACCGTCGTCGGCGACGGTGCGGACCTGCTCGACGGCAGGGATCACCGGCTCCGCGATAGATGTACGGGGCGGTAGCGGCGGTCTAACGCCGGCGGCAGCGTCCCCTTCACCCTCGGCGTCCGCTATAACGGTGATCGGTGCGGGCGGTCGCTCACGAGGCTCGGACGGGGCGCGAGGTGAAGTATCCCCGGCTATCTCATCGTGCACTGCCGAAAGTGTATTAATTACACGAGTGCGGTTGAGCAAGCGTGCCATGAAGTAAGACTCGGCCGGGTTCCCATAATTGACAATGGCGTCATCAGAGTCCGTATCGAGGGGGTCACGTTCGGCATCGTCCGTAGGAGCCGGCGGGCCTGGTGGCGCAGGCAGGCGCGTGTCGAGCGTGGCGCAGGGCGGAAGGGGCGCGTCGGGAGCGGGTGGCGGCGCGGTGCGTTCGGTGTCAGAGTAGCGAGTCATGATGGTGAGCCCGTTCTGCGGCACGGGGCGTGCTTCCGGCTCGGCGGGCGCCTCTTGTGGGGGCGGCACGGGCGCGGGCGGGACTGCAGGCGCGCTGCGCACGGCGCTACTGCGCGAGCGCAACACCGTGGCGCGCGGTGGACCGGGGGGATCCAGCATCAGTGTCACTACAGACGTATTGTCGGCTCGCATTCTTGTGTTTGACCACCTGAAAAGGTTTATCGTTATCATATCCGACTCAACTAATTTTAATTCCCATTATCATCAAAGTTTTGAAAAACCTACCTCTCTAGAGCATGATCTACTAGGCTCTTTGAAGGGTTCAGCCAGTCTCTCGGCTGATTGCCGTTACCGCCTACCAAAGCAGCCTCGTTATGCCGTTCTGTCGCTTGAACTAGACTAACTGCACCCTCTGACGATATCATATTCCACAGTCCATCAGTTCCAAAAATCAGACACCTGGAATAGAATAATAACAAAATTATAAAAATCGAAAATAAACATAGTTAAATTATTTAGGCCAGGGATTCCCAGTGGTCAATATCGACCCCTTGGGGACGAGATTGGTTTGCAAGGGGTATAAACGAAAACATATTTTGGGGGCTAACAAAATATTTTGGTGCTTAAAACTCCACCTAAGTATTTTTAAGTAATTTGTATGAATAATAATTAATTAAATTGGTTTTAAATTGGTAAGTCTTTTGTTTCAATAGGAAAAAAATTTGAGATAGGAGTTTTAAAGTAATTCGGCAATAGCCGGTGGTAATAGCCGAATTACTTTAAAACTCCTATCTCAATTTCTGAGGTATCGTTTCATTTTGTAAAAGGGGTCTATTGCCCAAAATTGTTTGGGAATCCCTGATCTAGGCTTTTCGACACCTACCGAAATTTAGATGGATCTATAGTCAGCACACCTACATCAGGATCAGGACTGACTATAAATTCGTCATTTTGGGGATTATAACTCCACAGATCACCTAGCGACCTCGCCACTGCTAAAAATGGTATCTCATCCATTGGAGTATTCTTCTTTATTGGTCCCTTGTGCCCCAGCCGTGGTCTGTTCCATACAACACGGGGCACACCTGCTTTTGCGACAACTTTTCCTCCACATCTTTGGATGCGTTCTATTTCATTTGTGGATTCTGGTTTGTGATCCGATGTCAATGGTTTAGCAGCCCACTCCTCACAGCCTGTAATGATATCAATTTTATAAATAGGTATGTATGTTAGTGCTTTTGTATATTATGTAAGTTTAACACTAATTCAAACTAAAAATGCTGCATGCATTTCCAAAAAAAAAAACAAAAAGCAGTGTGCATTTTATTAAAATTATAACATAATAGCTACAGATGCCCCCTTAGCACTTCCTTTCATATCAAATTCTAAAAAGGAAGGTTGTAGATGGTGACAAAGTGTATGAAAAATGTGTTTTACATTTACAGAACTAAATCCAATTTATTATTAGATCTCAAAAAGCTAACTAATATTTTTACAGGAAAAAAAGGTTGTTAGAATCCCTTTTACACTTTGTCCATGTATTTATTATTTAACACTTTGTTAAGTAGTCAATTAATGTAGAGAATTGATTCAAACTAACAATCAATTCTTTTTCAGAGGAGGATTTTTTTTAAACTGTTTTTACCAGTACTGTTATAAGGATGATACTATCTTTATTTTCCAGATAAGTCAATAGTATTTTACATTAGTAGGCATCTTACCATCTTTTTGGTAACCAAGGACAATGGCTGAATCACCAACATGTCCAATATATATTTTGCCACGGCGTATGAAAGCTATGCTTGCAGTTGTACCTGCAGTGCTTGGTAACCCTGTTACAGTTTTTGGCCATTTCTCTGAAATAAACAACATTTATGATGTAAAACCAGTGTATAGTATGAATCTAATTCCTTGTCGCTTAATTTAAAAAAAATGTTTAACCTAACTTTATAAGCAAAACACATAATGTATTTTTCTCCTTAAGAGTAACTAATTCACTATATTAGGATTACAATATCATAGCAGGAACAACTTTTAATTGCCATTATCGTCATAGTTTTGAGAAACCTACCTCTCTGGAGTATGATCACCAGGGTTCAGTGACAACATAATGAATGAAAATAATAAATAAATACGTCAACACTAGTAAGTATTGAGGTGAGATAGTGTTAAAAAATGCTTGCAATGAAAAAATGAAATCTTTTTAATTTATGTAATTGTATTAGTTTGTGGTGGTATCTAGCACCTTGTACACTCATTAGCGTAATCAAATAGAGCATACTTTTTGGCTTCCTAGTACACTCTTTCTTCCCTTCTAATGAAATCACCCCCATAGATGGCATAAAAATGTAGATTTGAGATAAATGTTTTACACAACAATTTGATTGATATGAAGTATATACATCCTCAGAATATAGTAAATAAACTGATGTCAACTAATTTTAATTCAAGTTATTTTATAGTAGTTGTTAATATAGTGCCTGCCCAGTATATAAAACTTGGGAAAGTATAGTGAATAATTTTTTATATAACATAATATATGTGTAGTTAGCATCTGGGTGTGTATTATTATTTTCTTTATTACTTTTAAATAACTTTATAGAGAACTTTAAATTTACCATGATAACGAAACACTTTGTTTACTAACAACACTGAAAAGAATAGTTTTACTTGTGTGTTATAACATCTATCTTAAAACTAAATATTAAATAAATTTAATGCAACACTTCAAATTTTTAATGAATAAATCTGTAGCTTTATTTTAATATATGATAAATGGAAATAGATAGATCTTCACCATTGTTAAGTGTTTTTGTCAGTTAGCATCATGATTATTAATAAGTTTGTTTATTTAGGAGTAAAATAAATTTAAAAATTCTGCTTGACTTTAGAGGTAGCAAACCATAGTCACTATAAAACCGAAACTTGTAAAACTGCTTTCACTTGACCAAGTGATTGGTATTCCCCAAAAAAAAACCAGTGATAGTTTGTTGTACTGACTATTATCTAACAAAGCAACAAATTATTCTATAATGACAATGACCATTTGAAAAACTCCTATAAACTCAATGTCAAACCACTCAAGAAAAAATGTGAATAAGTCCAACAAGGTCAAGCAAAACATTTTGTACAGTCACTTAGAACTCTTTTTGTTACTGGACTAAGTAACATTAAAGTAGTTAAACCTTATGATTAAGACTGTAATAAAACGTAACACTGGATGTTTACCTAACTCTTTCCACATGTTCAAGTGGGTCAACATGTAACCATTTCTGATTGCTTTTAGTACGTCCTCATCGTTGTCTGACCAGAACTGCCTCTGTTTCACTATAGAGTCCATCAAATGTTCCTTTGCAAATGCAGCAGCTTCGCTACCACCATGGCCATCATATATGCCGAAAAAAGCGTATTCCAAATCTCTTTCGTCCTCAGTTTGTTGATAAGCAACGGCAAACAAATCTTCCATGTACTTTCTCCCGCCTTGGCTGCAGTGGCCAGTTACGCGTAAATTAACACCAATAGACGCAGGCATTTTAAAACTACAACACTACAACTTATTAACAAAACATTTATGATTTCATTGTAACACAAACTTTCCTAGCCTGTACATTTTGCATTTGCAGTTACGCCAGTCTCTACTGACGACAGATCACGTGGACATATTGATCACTACGCGTGCCCAGTTTTATGAAAAAAGACGTGAGCTAGAAAGAGAAAACCATACATTTGTCAATACGCTGTCAAACGAAATAGACGCCATCATTCTTTCCGCCATTTTTCTCAAAAACGACAACAGACTTTCTTTAAAAATGTCCTTTCTTAATTACTTCAAACTCACAAAATTTGTTACATGGTTCAAAGTTAAAAATTATGATCTATTTTTTTAATTTACAAAAATACAAATTCTTGATAAAAATATAAATGGAAAGGTTGATTGGCAATTTTTGGATTAATGAAAGAAGATTCTACGTTCTAAAACGCATTTTTCAGATGATATTTTTGGTTTTATTATTTGTATCTGGCATAAAACAATTTTAATTTATGAAATAAAATTATGACTGAGAGAACTGACCTCTATTAATTATCTTATTAAAAAAAAAAATACAGTCGAATTGAGAACCTCCTCCTTTTTTTGAAGTCGGTTAAAAACAAAGTATAATAGAACTGGAAAATACGTATACATTAAAAGTTAAAAGCTTAGCTAGCTTTTTAGCTAAAGTTAGCTTTTTCATGTTTTATCTAAAATCAGTGAACACCCGTGTTTTAAAATGTAAAACCTGGAAAGTTTACGTACCCGTAAGCTAAATGAAACTCAATTAATGCAAAACTATAAAATTCTGCCATCTCATCAGTATCAGGTGACTCGTCTGCTCGTTTGCCCCGCTATACAGGAAAACAGTCTAACACGCAAGATATGATGCCTGAAGGTAAATCGCCACTAGTGGACCTATCTACCAATGATTCATCCAATGTAAATTTGTAGATTCTTCTACTCATTAGCAATAACACTACGCTAGTTGGGCTGAAGTACAACATCATAAGCCTACCCTTATCCCAATATTATTTGGGGTCAGCGCAGTATGCAGTATTATTCCATTCTACTTTACTCTTTCTTCATTTTACTGTTTACTCCCTTCCTGTTTAGCCATATCTTCAATCACACAATCCATCCACCTTTTCTTTGGTCTTCCTTTTCTCTTATAGCCTTCAATTCCTATACACTTTCTATCACTAACACTTTCTTCGCCATATTTCCCCATTTCTCAGCATGACATGTGCACGCCAAGATAATTTATTACTTCTTAACTTATCATCCAGCGGCGTTACTTACAGATTCCCTCATATATACTCATTTCTGACCTTGTCCATCCGAGTCACACCACACATCCATCTTAGCATTCGCATTTCGGCTACGTCCAGGCGTCTCTTGTTCGTTCTCTTAATGAGCCAACTTTCAGAACCATACGGGACGGCGGGTCTCACAATAGTTGTATAAATTTATCCTTTTAGTTTTAAGGGAAAACTGGGGTCACAAATTGGAAAAGGTGTTTTCCTTTATTGGAAAAGGTGTTTTAATTTTTGAGATAAATGCAACATTGGTTTGCACAAACAAATGTATACTGCAGCGCCCCCTTGTGACTTACGATCGTAATAATCTTCTAAGAACCAGCACCAGTCAATTACGAACCCATTACTGAAAACCGCATTAAAATCGGTCTATTCGTTTTGAAGATAAATGGCAACATTGGTTTGCACAAACAAACAAACATCTCTCACCCTAAACGCATATATATACATACCTACCTTCTTCGTACCGTCGTGGTTAAAAATATGGTAGTGTCTTTTTCTACCTACTAAGAGGCGTGTGCTGAAATGAAACATGTGACTTACTTACTTATTACTTTTTTAGTCGTAATGAGAAAATAATCATCATTGCTGACTAAAAAATAAAAAAATAATTATAGATTAAAAAAGTAAAAACGCTTTTGTAACTAGACAACCTAAAAAGTAGAAAATAATTTTCTATAACATCAAAAAGAAAAATTATTGTATCGTAAAAAAGCATGGCATTTTATTTCACCGTATTCTTTCTTCTTTATCTAGCAGATTAAGTAAAACAAAGATACGGTAAAAAAAAACAACAAACCGCAACCACTGGTTTTACAAACCTCAGTGGTTTTCAAATGCACTATAATCAATAGTTGTAAATGGCTTTGTAAAATGTTGAATAAATTAAATCATAAATAGTTGCTGTATAATATCATTGGATTTATTCCGTTTTAGGCATTGATTTGTTTAGACACTCATGTTGAATAAACTCAGAGGCGACACGGCCGGCTCCTTGTCAACACCGTTTTCCTCTACAGCTACGGACCCCGGGACCCGTTGTTGTATAATATTAGATCAAGTTTTATAAATTATTTTGGTCGTTTTTTGTTGTAATGGATACAATTATTGTTTTATGAATCCCTTGTGAACTCGACCAATTATTACTAAAAATTGTTTTACATCAGTAGTCATCCGTTTTGTCGCACCATAAAAATATGAACGACACCCAGTGGTGTGGTTCAGCGGTGTCGTTCAAAGAGTTGAGTAACATTATGAGTCGTTTACAGTACATGGACAAACAAGTAAAAATAATAGTACTATGATAATGGTATGGTTAAACTTCGATGTATAGCATTAGGCATTCAGTACCTGGATCACCCAGCTCTCTCTAAAAATAAAACTGAGCTAGATAGATTCATTGCCCCCGAAATCCCCTGAATACTAAATTCCATGAAAATCGATGGAGATCTTTCCGAGATTCAGGTTAGATATAACAAGTGTCCTAAAAATAATCACAAAAATGAAATAACAGATAACGCGCTTCAATTATACGTCAGTTAAAATTAAAAAAAAAATACTACAAAAATACAACAAAATTTAGAACTTTAGAACGGCCGCCGCGACGAGCCGGCCAAGTTTACGTTTTTATTACTAACCTACTAATCACTTACTTTTTAAAATCAATTTATTAATAATACCATTTTATTCACGTTTTCAATTCGGGAATGTTTGACTAGCTTCGGATACGGCAGTACTTGTCACTCTTTGAAAAAGTGGGTACTTTGGTTGTCTCGCAATCTTTGTTCCGCCCCTACAAATCCGTCCGTAAAGCTGAAGATGCGTTTTGATAGAGTGCCCGGTAAATTAACATCATGTCAGGATATTACGCGGCTGTGAAGGTCACTCGCGGCATTATGGATGACGATACCGTTAACCTAATAAAATTAAAAGACTTGGCTTTAATTTTCAATAATTGCATTGAGTGTGATATATTTCCCAATTTAATGAAACATAGTAAGATCATTCCCATATTCAAGGCGGGTAGCACGTCCGATCCTAAATGGGCAGAGGTCCCTGAGGTCTCCGGTCACTATGGGGTTCCGCAGGGCTCAATTCTCGGACCATTTTTGTTTCTTGTTTATATAAATGACCTACCTAATTTGATAAATGATAATCAGGAGATAGTGCTATTTGCGGAAGACACCTCATTTTTATTTAAACGACAGCAATCAGTTACTGATGACGTAAATAGCACTCTCTCTAAAGTCGTAAAGTGGTTCGATATTAATAGTTTAGATACTTTCGTTTTTCTTTAATTTACTTTTAAACGAGAAAACAACTAAATGTATTAGATTTTTTACACTTAATGTTAAGCAAACAACAAAGGTAAAAACCAATGTTCTGATAAATATTAAGGATTTATATCTTGTGGACACCACCAAGTTTTTGGATATAACTCTAGATTCTAAATTGCAGTGGGGCCCACATATTGATCGATTGTCGAATAGACCCAGCTCTGCAGCATACGTTACGTCCGTGCATACGTTTATAAAATTCGTCAATTAACGGATGTAGAACAGCAAGTCTGCTATAGCTATTATTATAGTGTAATGTCATATATGGTATTTTGTTGTGGGGAAATGCTGCTGACATTCAAAGTATCTTTGAGTAGCAAAAGAGAGCTATTCAAGTTATAGGCAGTCACTGAAGGATAAGTTTACAGAAATTGGTATCATAACAGTCGCATCACAGTACATATATGAAAATTTAGTGTATGTAAAGAAAAATAAGTATTCATTTATTCACCAAATAATTTTTAGAAATAAGATAATCTCGTGTTACCAACCACCAGACTACAAAAAGTAAGCAAGTCTTTTCGATGTCAGGGTTTGCGATCTAGAATTAAAATTCCAAGCAAATTTTATGAACTAAGTTTTAACAAATTGCAGTCTTTAGTAAAACAAAAACTATGTGAAAAGGCTTACTACACGGTTAGAGATTATTTACATGACAAATTTGTTTGGGATTGATGCTGCTCATTGTTCTTATGTATTCTTGTATTTAGTTTCTTTTCAATTTCTTCATTTTTCCATTAAACTTGAATTGTAGTTTTTTTTTTGCAAGTTTCATTCAAATATGAGTAGGCTTATAATCCTAACATTTTGAAACTTTCTGGTGGTTTTGAGTGTTTCCTCGGCCTACTCAAATGTCCTGCCGGCGGTAGTGTCGCGCTTCTGGTCGTTGTTCTTGACTAATATCGGTTAGGCTACACGATGGCTGGGTCTCGCATGCAATTTGTATGGACGGGCCTACTCAAAACTATGGCCCTTTCTTCAAAAGGCCTACCTAGACCCCACACTGTACTCGCACAATTTTCTTTAACTTTGTTTACGGACTAAAAAAAAGACACCTCTAGGGTTTGTTTCGGCGTTTCTTCCCAGAGTAATTCTTAGTAAATGCCAACTCCATCTATCTGCAAAGTCCGACTTGTAAAAATATCTGAAAAGATTTACTTACAGAAATAAATATAATTTCATTTCAAGAATGGCTTGTGTAAAGGTATTGGATTTATAACTGTCATAAACTTGCGAAAGCTTACTTAATAATCTAGCCTTCTCTCAAAATTTGTTCTATACCTATGTGTCCTTGTAAACTATCTCATTACTAAATTTCAGATGTCTCATTAAGAAACAGGGAACTTCCAATCAAAGCTTGTGATCTAAAAACCTTTCCTAACTAATAAATGAAATTGTTTTTTCAATTACTCTTCAGGTAATTAGGAGACTTATTTTTGTAGGCCTACAATATTGTTTTAAACAACGTTCTAGGGGCAAAGATATTAGATACTTTGGGTTTATTTTGATTAGTTTTTATGTGATTTATTAATCAATAAAATAAATCAATTTTCGATCTAAGTGGTGTGCAATGGGAGAGGCCTATGTCCAGCAGTGGACTATGATAGGCTGATGATGATATTCATTGAGACGTTAAATACTTTTAATTAACATTTTAAAAGTAATAAAAGACAAGTTTTACAGTTTCAGAAGTATTTTATAATTAAACTACCTACTCTTTACACTAAATCTAAAATTTACTCTTCAGCAACTTCCCATGGCTTTTCAGGTCTATATCTATCCCAAGGAGAAGGTTTCTTATAAGTCTCTGGTTCTTCAAGTTTAATTCCGCCATTCACAACTTCTTTAAGAAATCTGTCTACTTTGCCACCTTCCACTGGTTTTATATCACAATATATCTCTGAAATACCACTTTCTAAACACCTCTGAGCAAAAACTCTTCCTAAATTAATGTATGCAGAGGTATCTTTAATGCTATACAATTGTTTGCGGAGAGCCCATTCTGAGGTTTTTGCTTCAATAACTGGTCCATTAATGTAATGGACGACTTGGGCAGTAACTGTGCGATTACTTGAAGTCAGTGATAATCTGCAATAATAATTCTCAAATTAATAATTCAACTGTTAAAAACAGAATAAAGGAAAGTGTACTATTCTACTTATTATATTTTTAGATTACAAATTAATAAAAATATGGCGCTTAATTTATGACCATAGGTTTTATAATTTATAACACTCTAGGTCATTTTATCAAGCACTGTCTTTACTGAATAAATTACAATACTATATTTACACTTTTTTTTATATTAAGATAGATGTATGCATTTTTGAACTTCCCTGACAATAGATATTCATATTTATATCACATACCTAGGATGTCAAGCTTACAGTCCAAGTTACAATTAATCAGACCACTTTTTTTAGCAGGTACTCAATACTCAATTACTAATGGTATATAAATGGTCTTAAACATATAAAAATACAGAACCATTATGGACCCTGTCAGGCACAGCAAAAGGTTAAGAGACAGGAAGACGTCTAAGCACTAATAACTTAATATCTATTAATAATTGTCTAATACATATTTTAAGCCCTGGCTGGCAGTGACTTTTATTCTTTATCCGTTTATTTCCGTTCCATTTTGATCGATTTACGCGGTATGCCAGGGAAGTAAAACTAATTTAATACTTTCTTAAGAATTACCTCGTAGTAATTACAGGTTTTAACACATATTGACATATTAATTAACAAATACTTTCTAGTAATAAATTTTAAACACAAACTTGTGCCAGAATTTCCGTCCAGGTTTGTCAAGATGATAACCATCAGGTTTACGTGCTATCCGTATTCGCTCTAAATTGCGTGGGTTTCTATTCACGAATACGTTGGAAGCAGTGGAATTGTTTCGAGACACTATTTGAACTGTAAATGGTCTTAAATAATTCATGATTTATTTATTTCCTAATTTATTAGTCTAAAACCAATACTTCGCTTGACTTTACTTTTTATGGGTCTCACTCAGAAGGCCTCCAATCATTTCTCTTACAAGTGTATTATCTATGCATTTCTCTATCTGTCAGTAAAAGTAAAAAAATAGTCTATGCTATGGCGCAGAAAAGTAATTCCCGAACGAGTTGGTTTGCTTGTCAGTTCTCCTTCAGTATGGATTAAAGTGATCATTTCGAGTGATGAAATAAATTAATGAAAATTTTAAAGATGGTCTGACATCAATACATGAACTAGTATTTTTATATTTCAAAAGAAATTCCATAAGTTGTTTTAATTATATGTATAATTTTATACGACCAAAAAGTGAGACAACTATTTAAGGCAAGAGACCCCTTTTCTAAAATGAACTGATACCTCAGACCCCCATGGCATTCTTATCGACTTACAAAAGACGTTTATAATTCGTAGAAAGAATATATTTCGACTGTGTGACATGGTCAGGAAAATAAAATACTAACATGTGAGGGCCTAAATTACGTTTTTTTAACTCTACAGAATTTATCATTCATCATGCAGATGCACATAGACAGCAACGCATGTATTTTTTATACTCAAGATTTGCTCTACTTGTAAATCAGAGTCAAACATAGGGTGGCGAGAGCGTACAGTCAGTCTGGCCCTCCGCGTTAGATGATTCACATCAAAAACAGCGATACGATTTAATTGTAATTCTAATAATTCAAGTAATAATAAATGTTACGAATCTTTACATAAATTATCGAAAAGCAATTAATCGCCAAACGCTGAAAAAGCACAACACTACTCTTTGACAATATAAAAAATGACGTGCATTGTACTTGTATTCACTATTAGCCCACCCACACTTTGAGTTTTGATAAGAAAAATATTTGTTTGAATATCTTCTGTGCACCTATTGCTATTTTATTTACCTCCCTCGGATATGTAGTAGTCGTCATAGTATGTGCTCTATGGCCTCCTCTCGGCGCCAGTTGTTTTGTGAACTTGTGTGATTCGGGCGTGAGCGTGCGGGACAGTTACATGTTTTGTAATTAATTTGTACGCCCACTCGGTGGATGGCTTAGATGGTTGTTTAGTGCGAGTGATGGTAATAGGCCTTAGGTAATATAAGTGTGAATTTTCTTAAACATGTCGCTGCAAAAGAGTGTGAAAAGTGGAGGTGGAGATAGGAGTGACCTAGGTGATACAACATCGATATGTTCCTCGGTGACGACGCAGCCAGACAGGCACGGCTTCTTTGGAGGTGCTCAATACAGTCCAGAGCCGTAAGTGCATATCACGAATATCTGTTAATGGCTCTAAACTGTTTTGTAGTGTATTCAAGTTTGTTGATGTTTACCTTTTATTTGGCTTATTTTTTATTATAGTGCATAAAATTGTTTACTAAATTTTTATTATAACTACATTTAGTAAATAATTGACTTCTGATACACCATGAGTTAATTTCATTCTTAGTAAATAGACTCTTTGTTTACTAAATTAATACAATATAGTAAAAACCATATCAGTTAATTATTATTTTCTATTAACACATTATTGCCATTTAGTAAATATAATTTAGGTTCTAGTTTTTTTTAAAATTAACATTCAGTAAATATACATTAAATACAGTTGCTAATTATTTAGTTATTTTAATTGGTTACAAATAGAAAAGTTGTATGCTAAAACATAATATTTCAGCAAACCCTTGCAAACTAGCTATTAATCACGCCCCACTATCGATTACAAATGACTAAACATTAAAGTGACTCACACAAAAATATATCAATAATCCATATTATTAATATCATAAAGCTGTACTGTTTGAATGGAACTGTTTTTCTAAATCCTATTCAATTTGTTGTATAGTCAATAACTTTCCTGATTAAACAAATTAGAAAAGTTATATACCTAAATTGTTGACAAAATCTGCATTCATGTGACACCAGCCAAAAAAAAAAGCTATCTATACAAATAAACAAAATTGAAGTGTCTGTTTGTCAAAATAATAGGATTTTCATGCTCACACGGTTATTTGCTCAAAATCTATGCCTAAAATATTTAAACGGCTGGACTGATTTTGATAAATTTCACTACTTGGCAGCTATCTATACAAGGAGTAACTTTGGCTATTTTTCTTCTCAGAAAAACCCTATAAAATTTTGCATATGCAACGCTTTTAAAATTTCACACGGACAAAGTTGCAAGTACAAGCTAATTAGAAAATAAACTAGTCAACTTAACTGTGACAACACAACAAACAGAATTTTTCTACATATCTTAATCTTGGTTTATCTATCAACATTATTGATGTGATTTTTTGACAAATGTTACACAATTTTGACACATGAGATTAAACACTGGTTTGTCCTCAACATATCATCAAATTGTATTGAAAGCCTAAATGTTATAAGAAGTTTACATTATTATGTATGATTCCTTGTGCAAATAAAAGTTTGAGTGTCCTTCCTCGATCCTTTTGTTAGCAAAACACTTGTTTTACACTACAAACTTAAAAATAATAATGACTATAACAATATTATATAAATAAAACTTAAATTTGTATAACAGCTTGTTTTCCGGCTATTATAATTTTGGTGGTATCTTTTGTGAGTGTTAGCGCTGCCAACTATTCTCACTAAATAGGTATTTGTTCTATGTCTATGATTTGTTTTAAAATGGCAGTGATAGTAAAGCAATAATTTTGTAAGGAATATTTGGCCATTATTTGCTAGTTAACTTTCATCTTGTTCTTTCTTGTGCTTTATTTAATTGATTAATTAATATAACTTCAATTTTTTCAACTACCTTTTAACTATGAAATAAATATTGTCAAACTGATGAAAAGCACAAGATGTGACTATACTGTGATACCAGTGGGTGGTGTCATTTTTTGGTGTCCATTAAGTTAGTTCCAATCAACAAAAAGATGGCGAATGACTAATATTCCTACAAACTAAACTGAAAATGATCTATTCCACAACCATAGTTCATATTTAGCATTCGCCAGAGGTAATTGAAGCTACTGGCTGTGGCCACAAATACAAAAATTGATAGAAATGAACGAGTGAAACCAAGCGTTTTCACTCGTATGACATCATTAGCACTAATTACGAAATGTTGAAAATACTTAGGTTTACATCTATAGTCTAAATTGTACAAATTATCTAATTCCGTAATCGATTTTCAACATTCGATTTAATATGCTTTAAAGCATAACAGCTAATCACTTAATTGTACGGAGCAATGATGAAAGCGGCTGTACTATGAAACTCAAGCGATATACGACAGAATCGATACGTCTAGTCTGTATTCATCTCTTGGTAAAGAATAATACGCGAGCTGTTAGAAGTAAAATTCGCAATGCACGGATAAAAAATGCACAATCAATATTTCCCTTCTATCTTATGTTGAAAATTATTTGATTCTTAGATATTATTTAATGTTATGAATACGAATGTGAGTTTGTTTCTTTTTTATGTTTCTTGCCATCACTAACCAATAAAATATGTGTACCTACACAATCACCTTTCAAATCGTAAAACATTATTAGAAAGAGAGTGAAAATTAGCGAAGTTTAGGCTTATTTCAGTTTTCAATTTTACTTAATTAGAACTAAAATGTTGTTTGAACTCGGACTTACAGAGGCCAGCATCACTGACTATTTATATCTTTTGTTTTAGTTGTTTAAGGGGTTGAAGTCCTCCACTCTTGAGTGGGACCAAGTAGGTGTGGAGGTCTCAACGGAATAAAAACCATCCAATTGTTCCTCTGCTTGCCCTGTGATAGGTGGAGCGAGAACTGCACTTACATTTTTCAGCTACCCTAAAACAGACTGTTACACCTATATTAAAAAAAAAAGAATCTGTTTATCTGCCTATCTTGATAATCTAACATAAGAATAGAGTCTAACTCATTAAAACTCCACACGGCTAATTATTTTTTGCTTTTATTAGGATAGTTGGTGTAATTATGATTGCCAACAAGTGAATTAAATTCAAATGTTTTCTCTAGAAAATGCATTACATTATACATATTTTTGAAGCCAGCCTAAGGTATGTACATTTTAATATAATACGTCGTGCGGCGTTTGTTTCACCTATAGTCAAAGATCAAGTAGTTATATTCAAGCTATGTAACCTTACAGTATTCGAATATTCATTTTATGCGTTTAACGCAAGTTACTGCAGTTATTAGTAAAAGTTACTGAAGTTTTGATAAAGTTATGCCTGCGATCTATAATAAAAAAAATATTCACAGGTTACATATTGCGCACAAAATATTGCAGGGGAAAGGAAGCCAACAATATTTCTCAACTTCCCAGATATTGTATGCCGGTCTTTCGTAACTGTTCATATGTAGTTTTGTCATTTTCTACGCATATAACGAACCTGTTCGTAACAATAAAGAATATTGCTTTAAAAATCATTCCATTGTAACTATCTCACGGAATTAAATCGGTAAATACTGAAATACTTGTCAAAGAAAGTAAATGTTATACAAGCAGATAACAGTGCCTGTATTAAATGAATACTGTTAAACCCGTATCGCAATGTCTAGTATGTATTTTATCGTAATGTTCTTGGTATTTCCCAATTTTGTTTGAGGTCGGCGCAATGTGTAACATTGCGAAGTGTTTTCCAAGGGCTGGTTATTTTATTGCCGGTCGCCAGGGGTGATACTCGCTTTTACGTGTCTTGTCGTAACTCTTAACGAAAACGTCGGTATAAATTATTATTCCTTAATTACTGGTGATCCTTTTACTAATTCCGGTAATCGATCCTTGGATTAAGTTCTTCTTATTTACATCTGCATTTTTATACAACATACATGTTTCCTGCTTCCTGCTGCATTACCGATTTCACTCTCTACTGTACGTGGAATTCTAACAAAGCGAACAACGAATTTTAAAGAGGGCTATACGAGGTATTTCTGATAGTATATGATCAAACGATTCGATGCAGCACATAAAGGTTTCAAATCCTTCCGAAATATTTACGATGAAACGTGATCGCGTAAAATCTTCGACAATTCTGCTTGGCGTTTAGTACAAGCGAGCCGTACCTAATCACAGTTGTAAAGGGAATAAAAAATGTTAAGAAACCACAGAGTGTGATGACATGTGCATCGTATGGAGCCCTCTCGTTTGCCTAGACAAACTCTCCTAGGAGAAATAGCTCATGCCAGGAGACCTGTGGGCCGTCCAAAGCTGAGGTTTAAGGAGAACGTAAAGCGCGATGTGATCTCCTTCGACATCAACTTTTCTAATTAGGAGAACCTCGCAAAAGAGCGTGTTTAGTGAAGAAAGGTTGTCCCGGACGGCCTTAAACCCATGATGAGGCTTGGTTGGGAGCGCTGACTCATAGGTGAGTGCGCCGGCACGAGAGGGGTGGGGTTTCGGGCAGTCGGTCCCTAACTTGTGGGCACTGCGAAGTTGCTGCGACTCGAAACACCCAGGACGCTACTTAAATCATCTGATCAAGATGTTGATGATGATGAAGCTAACTCTAACTCTGTATTAGTTTAAAGCGTAACAAAAAGTTTCATACCTATATTTGCTCCAAAGAACAATGGCACAAACATATTTACCTAAAACTGAAGCGTTTAAAAAATTGACAAACAGTAAACTAACTAGATATTTTTTCTATGATTTATCATTATACCTCCATGTGTTGTATAAGTCTAATAAGAGATTGGATATATTTAAAGATTATATTTGACCTAAGTACGTAATGTCAGAATCGCCATCACGAACTGACTAGGGATGCGTGATGACATTATTATATTATGGAACGTTTTATCGATAATCGATTGTTATAACTTTGGCTTAAATATCTATCGAAGGTTCACCTATTATGATCATGAATTTGCTTCTGCCCACGGGTTTACTCATACGCTACCGTAAGTAGTACCGTAGTGATTAAATCAACCTAATTAGAAATAATTTAAAATATTTTTGAGTCTTTTTAAAAGATTTTTGCTACACCAAAATAAATAGAATATAGTTACGTTAGTTTCCTACAGAAAAATACTAAAACAATATACTGCTTAGTGTGATGAGAAAAGAACATTGTAGGTTGACAACGGCACATAAATATTTTTACATTTTTGCATACATCGATATTTTTAAAATGTCGATACGTCGTCGTCGCACTTACTAGTCTTGTCGTTTGACACTGAATACGCATGACTTACATACCATTTCTCACAAGGCAATTGTAGTTTGTTTGGTTGTTTTACTTTTATTTAGTATTAAACTCTCATATATGTTTATTTTAATTCTAATTTCATATAGTGTTACTCCATTATGCATGATGTGATGCCTTAAAATGTTGTGCATTAATCTCAATATAATGGATGCATGCTTTAGATTTTAGTAAATAATGTCACAACTACTGACTGTTGAATAACTAAATAAATAAATAAATGCTCCCGCCTTGTGTAAATGTGTATTGAAGTACATATATTATTTTTATTTATTTATTTATAGCTAGTAATACACCTGTATATGTAAGCGAAAATTTTTTCTATTGTTTACCAATACATGCCAAGCAAATACCCTTCCTTCCTTCACCCTTTTAGAGAGTCGGCTAACACTTTCTACAGCAAAATAGGGTTGCTTATGAGTAATAATAATGATGAATAATATTTTCGAATATATGACACACAACGCCATCTAGTTTCAAACAAAACATTGACAATATTTTAGTAGTTAACCTCGAAACATTCAAAATCCAATATCTTTTTTCCTAGACTTCTTTCGCTAGTTATTTTTTTATGAGAATGATCAAGAATAAATTCTCAAGGGTTATAGCTATTTTTGATATTTAAACGCTGTCATTTCACTTCAAATAAAATTATGTATGGGGACCTGCCATTGTCCTTTGCGCAAGTAATTATCGATTTTTGTGACAAAAATAATTCAAAAGCCTTAACAAAGGTAATTGTTTAAAAACGTTATATGAAAAAGCAAGTGAAATTTTCCATCAATTGCCATAGACAACTCGATAACTTCTAAAAGTTAGACATTAACTAGTCTTAAAACGTGTTACCTAAGTTGGGAATATATTCAAATCGTGATTTGCAGCCTGCTCGTATATGCAACGCCCCAGGACTAACGTTGACAAAGTGTTTTATTCATGACCTGCAGTATGATTTCGCATGAACGAAAGGCTCTTAACATTCTTATTCAGCTTTTCCACCTTCTACTTTCACTACCTAAACGATATATCGTGAACGGAATAATGGCTTTCGGAATCAATATTTTTGAAATAACCCTCCTTCTGAAGCGGTCTGATAATTTGTGTTAATCATTAAGTCTTCCTCAACAGTTGAAGGTTCTGCGGCTAATATAGCCAGCCCAATGCCACTTCAGCTTGCTAATCCAGTAGGATTAAAACGAATTCTTAAGTGGTGGGTGACTGCGTCTCGGCACACGTAGTGTAGGACGCCCACAGGCCAGGTTGAGTGGCGATTTGCGCAAGATGGCTGGCAGGAGCTGGATGCGAAAAGCCCAAAATCGATCTAAGTGGCGTGCAATGGGAGAGGCCCAGCAGCTGGACAGTGGCCCAGGTCCAGCAGTGGACTGCGATAGGCTGATGATGATAAAGTCTTCAATACTGAAGGTCTGATTAACTTTACTATACCTAAGGGTTTAGACTACTTTACTTATACACTAATTAATGATGAATACATCCGTACTTATATTATAAATGTGAAAGTGAGTTTTTTTTTTATTTGTAACGCTTTCACGCCTAAACCACTGAACCGATTTTTTAAATTATTTCACCGATAGAAAGCTCCATTATCAGCAAGTAACATTGGCTTTTTACCGCGATAACCGACATACACGCGGGCGGAGCCGCCGGCAAAAGTTAGTAAAATATGTGTATGAATTATAATGTCAACAAGGCCTTTTCTTTCATATACACATATGTTTATTAGTGGGAGCCATACTTCGGCTCGCCCGTGATACCACGACCACGGTAAACCTGTGTTAAGTCCATTTTGTCGTTACTTTTCATCGAGTGAGTGAGTTGCTGGAGCCGGGAAGCATCAAATGGCGGCAACGCATCTATTTTTTACGCCATTTTTGTTTCTCAGTTCTCACGCCACTCAGAGTCATAAATGCGTTATTTGTGACTCTGAGTTTCATGTGCCTATCAGCGGCGGTAGTCACTTCTCATCAGGTGATCTGTACAAAACATACAACAAAAGTTCTCGCGCCGATTGGTATTTATACGCAACTTCCCATCATCAACCGTATGGCCGCGGTTTGTGGTTTCCAAAATAAATTTACATACTCGATTTCATTGCCTATAAATAGCGTAAAGAGCTCAAAAGGATGGAGTATAAGGTCCAGATTATAAAAAATTGGGCCTTTAAAATGTAAGAAACTACAGAATTTAAATTTATCTTCTCTCTCTATCTTTTTGTTCAGAACTATCTAGAATATATTATACATTAATCATCAGCAACAGCCTTAATTAGTCCACTGCTGGACATAGGCCTCTCTATGAGGTTTTGACCTACTATACCATGCTAGCCAGACGGGTTGGTATAGGGTTTTGGACAAGTTTTCTATTTCTTTACTGTGATGTTGTTCTTTTTTAAACCTCCCTATATATATATATAATACCTACTTAACAATAATTTTGACACGAAATAACGAAGCGGGTTGCGCTTCAAACTTCTTCACACCATTTTTGGTTCTCATTTCTCACCAATGCAACCATAATGTGCTATTGAGGATCGTGGTACACAGCTAGTCATCTAAAAAAAAAATGTTGAGTAGCGAGACCAATCTACGACAAAAGAACTAGAGAAAACTTTTAATGTGAACAAATATTCTTTCCTGATTAAGGTACGAGTCGGTGATAAAATACTTTTCCCACGACTTACGTACAATGTAATGGTAGATATGAGATAACTATGGGAAATGTAACTTCTTATCGCATGAACAGAATATTTGAAATAAAAAATACAATTATGTTTTGTACAAAATGTTTGAAGATAACGAGATTGATTACAGTCATTCCTTTCTACAGATTTATCTAAAAATCTAATAGGTACCTATCTATTTTGTCTATTTTTGACACTTTTATATTAAAAGAATGCGATTATAATATAAAAGGATCTGAACGAAAAAATTTGCCCTTTTTAACAAAATCATTCAAATCTGTACAAAACAAGTCTGAAGATTGTATTTGTTATTTACACACAACAATGATACACTGGCCGCAAACACTCCTCAGAATACAATACATAATCACTTAATTTTTTCATATGATTTTTAGCGAGTTGTATCATAGGAAAACATTATATTTTAGCAAACATAAGCATTACTCCTGGCTAATATTGTATGTGGATGCGAAAGCTAGTGTGTTAGTTTGTTTGTTACGCTTTCACACCCTAAATATTTATCCCATCATCATTAAATTTTGCACTATATTAATAAATATAAATTATTAAATAAATAATAATAAAGGGAGCCATAAAATTCTCGAGTAGCGACCGTGTACCGGAAATCGCAGCGTGGGTAGGCCCCCTACAAGGTGAAGGTAGAGAACCTTTGGGCAGGCCTATGTCCAGCAGTGGACGTCTTTCGGCTGAGATGATGATGATGATGATGAAATGAATAATAACAATCACTTCCAATAGTTAAGCTAGAAGAACAAGTATCAGGGTAGAGGCGTTTGCACACCACCAAGGAAAATACAAAGTTACAAAATATAAAACAACATCAAATAACCCTTTATTGTGGACAGCAGATTATTCTATCATCTATGAATTACATTTATTTTTCAAATTTAATTTAAGCCTAACAAGTTTAGTAGCGTCAGCATACACCATATTATTTTCGTTATCAAAAGCCAATCCAAAGCCGTCATCTATTGAATAAATCTTCTCTAAGGATAGAGTCGGTTTTCTCACTGCATATATTCCGTCTTGGAGGCATACATAAACGTTACCATTTTTATCAGTCGTCAAACTTCTTACTACAGGATTTTCTGCGTACAAAGTAGCATTTTTCGATTCAGCCTTCACAGAGTATAGACCAGTAGCATTTGTAAAGAAAATATCATTCTCATTGTCTATAACGAAATGATCTACTTTCGTATCTTCCAAATATTCAAATCTTGATGGGTTGCCATCTCTTAATACATATAAGACTTGCGTAGGAAAGATCGAAAAGTAGAGAGATTGATTAAAGTATAAATGCCATATGTTGCTACCTTTCTGTGCATACAGTTCTGCGTTGTTAGTAGCGTAGTCGTATTTGTAAATACCATCGCTTCCACCGATGTATACCTCGTGTGTTTTCTGATCAACAGTTTGGGCAAACCCGTTATTGACACCTTCAATGTTGCTGAATTCTTTCGTGATCAAGTTAAGTCTTGCAGATCTAAATTCATCGTCGCTAGTTCCTTTAATGTTATAACTAAAGTATAAGATGTTGGGGCTGTAATCTACAGCTAATGAATACGGTCTATCGAGGTCTCGCTTGAGGATTTCTTCATCGTAGTACTGCCCGTTTATTTTAATTCCATTGCAGTTAGCTTCATCTACAAGCACACCAGCTTGGATCGTAAGAAGGCTTGACAATATAAAAGCGAAAATCATCTTGGTACCGGAACGGGGCATTTGTAAAGTGAACTGTAACAGTATAAATAACAAATTTACAAATTTGGTCATAAAAAAGAACGCTTTGAAATATATGAAAGAACTTAGATGATACATACATGCTGTATGAAGGTTATAAAGGGGTAACGTAACCATGTCAGATACGACAAATTAAACTTTAAATGGCACAATAAGAAATCACTTATTTCAGTAAAAAGAGTTGAGTTGTTCAAATTTTTTACTTCATATTTATTAGGTGATTAATGTTGTGTTTCTAAATTTGGATAAAGGCAACAGATGAGTAAAAAATTTACAAGTAAATAAGATGTGGTTTTAGAATAAAAAAGGAAAAATGTACAATTTCCCAAATCTTTGGTGTAACTCGGGGTGTTTGGACTTGCTAACTGGAGTTTGTAATGTTATGATTACGAAGTTGACACTGGATTACCACACGATACATTCAGGGCAATTTTCGTAATATGGAATTAAAGCGTGATACACCTTACAATATGACTTCACGAACCGTGATGCTGAGTGCCTCAAAGTGATGGTGTTCGGAATTTTATTGTTTCTGATGAAAATAAATTGTAAAATTTTAAGTCTTTCCAAGGAGTCTCATTTGTCATTGGTACTGTTATTACAAAATGTTAATTCAAACTTCACCTGAGCACGTGGTTAACAGCATTTCGCTTCATACTATGTAGGATTAAATTCAAAAGAAAAAGCCAAAACTATTTTGCAATGAAATGAAAGATTGCGTGAAAGAAGATGTCGAATGAGGAAAGAAAAAGTCATTGCACCGACCCTATATTAATTCAGGCAAAGGGTAAAAAGATGATGATTATTTCTAAATCAGTATAAAAACCCTTTAACATAAACCGATACATTTCGACATAGCAATAAATGACATCAACATGTTGAAATTCGACATCGAATTTGCTTAAATAAAAGATGAGACACACTCGATTCCTCACTTAAGTTCTTAGTATCAATTGCTATATATAACATAGTAAACACGGGTAAAATAATTTATTAAACGAGTTTAGTATTTTTGGCTAAAATTTACTTTTAACCTTTTTAATTCTTTTACATTTTTAATGGAATCCGCAATGTATTACGTCATCACTGATGGATTGCTTATCTAATTGTCATAAATAAAATTAAAAGATGTCAACTTAGGTTTTACAAAAAACAAGTTTTGAATTGTTATAAAATACGAAATCGGTTGACTTACCATCTCTCGCAGTAGCCAAATGATAAATGCTGTATATGAAATGATAAATACTATATAAGATCGCATATAATATTTAAGATTCTTAGAACCGTAGAGCTGCCAGCAGGTTTTTTTTATTTTTATTTTTGTGGTATAAACTTAATATTTTTTAATTTAAAAATTGTTTACTTTGCGTAATGCCAATTTAAGTATAGTAACTACATGTTTCAACAAAATAATTACAATGTAAGTCTCAATTCAAAATATCATATCACTCTATATTAAAATGGATTCTTTGTTTTGTGCGGGATTCTTCGGCAAAGGTTGTAGAACAAACAAAAATTTTAGGTAAATTATAGGCATACTGTCGTTAGCTCGGTATTTTGAAAAGTGCTGATAACGATGGTCACTTCAGCAGCTATCGTAGAAGTCCTCGGGCATCTTCAAGTCCCTGTCTTATTGCCCTGCTTGTACAAAGTGAAATCGAAGTTGCGTCCAAATTTTTTTAGGCACTAGACATAATTTATTGGATATTTTTAGGCACTAGACATAATTTAAGGAACCTATTTTTGCAAAAAAATGGTAGGTCAAATTTTCAACATAAAATATTTTAATTCGAAGAAAATACTTAGCAGCGTGGTCACTGATTCCAACATACAACACGTAATACGTGTATATACACAATTTATGGAACGATAGACACTCCCCGCGTTAAAGTATTTTTAAACCTTTTTAGTGGCTAATGTGGACCCTATTCACTCCTTCCTACCCGGTCCGGTCCATCAAAAGAGTGAAGCATTTTCCTACAAGAGTCCAAAAAGATGTTGAGATGCATGAAAGCTAGCTTTTGGAGTAATATCAAATTATTTTTTTGTATGGACGTGTGGTACCATAGATGAGAACAGGTGGTTTAACATTAATCATTTCGTGAGTTATGCAACCTTCCACGTACGTATGCGTATCAGACTTTTCACTTTATCACTATAACGAAGGAGATAACGAGAGAAGTCTGTTCATAGTAAGTGATGGTATATTATTATTGCGTATTATATATTCTTGCTAAGCAATACGTGAAATGTATCTTGCACCAAATGTATCCATACTATCAAACTGTAATATAATACCACAATATCGGTACATTTACGAGTACGAGTTCTACCGTGGCACCAGTGCTGCAGAAACAGCTCGAAGGATTCGATTCTCGCCCCCATGGTTTTTATCAATAAGTAAAGGGATCAATGAACTACCTATGAGATGGCGAAAGGGCAAAGATAACAACGGTGCACACTTTGATTAATTAAATATATTTTACAAAAAAAAAAATGACTTCATATTCCACCTATACAAAACGCCAATTTCATATGTAAGGACCTAATACAATATCATAAAGCCAAACTACTACGGTAGAAATTTAAGTCCCCCTGGAAAGCTCACTATAACGTTAGCGAAATATGAAGAAGAAAAGGGAGAAAAATTGACGAAAGTGAACGCAAGTTACGACGGCTGCTGCACAAAGGAGTGGTCTTCAAAATCTTAAAACATCCTCCATACAGCTCAATTTTAATAATAATAAATAAAATATTCTACCTCACACACACAACGCCGTCTAGTCCCAAACAAAGCAGAGCTTGTACAATGGGTACTAGACAACTGATATAAATACATATATACTTTTTTTTTGTAAATACATACATATTATACATAGAAACACCCGGACCAAATCAAACATCAAATGTTCATGCACAAAAATGTTTGACTTGAGGGGGAATCGAACCCGCGACCTTTGGAATAGCAGTCCGTTACACAAACAACTACTCCATCCGGTCGTCAAATTTTAGACGATTATGATGTGTTTTCTACAGTGAAAAAAGAACTTCGAAGGAATTAATAAACTAGCGATGAAAAAATGAACAGAAGAATTACTACAACTACAACTAACGTACATATGTATGCAGGTATATATTTTTTGCTCTAATTATCCTCCGGTGCGTTATCTTTTTCACCCACCCTTATACATACTTATTTATAATCGAAGCATCCGAGGGCTTAGTGCGAGTTTATTTCACATCTACTGAAATCCCCGCCCGCACTGAAATCTTTACCAATCGCAACGCCCAACACGCTCACCGTGATGTTCGAATAGATGTGAAATAAACTCGCACTAAGGCCTCGGTTGATTATTACGTGTGTTTAACCTGTAAATTAATTTTCATCAAGGAATGGATTTTAATGTCCGTTGATATTAAGAAGAACAAAATCTGTTTTCCTTTTGCCACTGTGTGTTCTATTTCAGATACATATTATATTCAATGGACCTGAGTGAGTATATATTTAGTTGCTTATCATTCGTCACGATAACCGGTCTCCGAGAGTGGGTCACAAGTAGGAAGCGGTATGCAGCATACTCGTGATCATCTACCAACCTGTAATTTAGTATATAGTTTTTGTCAAATAACTTTATACATGACTCTATTAACTAGATATATAATAATAATTAAGGTATTTTGATGAAATGGAACTTTTCGTAAATGTCTGTTGCACTAGTTATTCCTTTGCAAAACTTTTATTCAATTAATAATTTAGTTGTATAAAATCTTCTTCTCTAAAGTAGTAGTTGCAAACAGAGACGTAAATATCGTCTCATATTTTTATTCAATTTTCGCGCGGTATATGCATTAATTTTTAATGTTAAAATTTTTAGTCTTTAGTTGTTTTGACTGTGATTAGATTGAATCTTAGCAACCTTACGTGTATGTAACGCTCAGACAGAAATCGCTCATTAAACTAAAAAAAAACAGCTCACAACGCGTTGTGGCAATAACAACAAATTACATAACAACATTCGTGTCATTCATGTCATAAAAAGAAATAAATTCAGCCATCGACCTCTCTACGAATTCCCTGTTTGTCATTGTTTTATCGTACGGCACATAACGTATCGTGGAGGTTATCACAACAAGTATATTGAATTATTTGGTATAACTACCTATTTTGTCTGTTCACCTTATGTATTTTGGTTGGTATTAGTAGATCTTAAATGGTACTATTAAATAGTAATAACCGAAGTTAGTAAAATTCTGAAGTAGTAACAGAATGTTAAAATATAGTTAATGTATACTAACACAAAAATAAAGTTACAGAAGCTAAGCATGTATATCTTTTTTACTGTTGTGCTGGTTCTACTAGTCTGAGGTATATAATATTATATGCTGAAGGTTCGGTTGTTTTAAGTGATTTCTCTTCTGCTATGTGAATGGTGTTGATGAAAATAAAAAAAAAGGAATTCTGAAAGAAAAAGATATATGGCAGTCTTTCATTGGTTTTTCGTTAAGAGAAGTGAACAATTCTATTAAGATCCATCGAGAGTGAAAAAAAGATTCCAGAGTTGGTGGGATGAGGCAATTTTTGCGGAATATTACTAGAACTTAGTAGCGATAACCCTGAAAGTGATTAAAGCAAGCAAAAAAGGAAAAAAAATTAATTAAAGAAACTAATTGTTTTACTAGTATATTCCGAATTTCTTAATTGTATCTAAATGGTTTAAAATAAAAACTATAAATCATATATTCGAAACTACTTCGTTTATGTGCTTGAAATTCCTGAATTTGTACTTTGTCTTTTATAAAAGTACTTTCGTTTTTAAGAGATAATTAGTAAAAACAAATTGTATTTTCAGCCAGGACAATAATTTAGTATAAAAAAGTGGGATTTCTTTAAAAGGAATATACTTAGAGCTTTTTTGTGGATCAGTGCTATTAATTGTTAAACTTGACTAAAAAAAAATTACTGAAGATTATAATTATAGCATTAAAAATCAGTCGTAAGAAATGCTTATTCAAGGTTTTTTTAAAAGACCACTGCACATTAAGAATATATCCTGTGTCGCGGGGGACTTTACAAACATACATGAACGGACACAAAGTACTCCCAGACTTAGAAAATCGATTTGTGGATCACATAAAGGTTAGTGCCGTCCCATGTGGGGATCAAACCCACAACACTCCATCAACCACTACGACATTTGTGCAATCGGAGGTATACTTAGGTGTATGAATACTTATAGCTTTATTCCTTGATCGCATTCTCACTCTAAGGTGTGTCAGCTTTAATAAGGAGCTAATTGACTCGTACCTTGTATGTATGAATCATAGCGATGTGACTGTGTACGAGTCATCGATTCGAAACAGTTCCGTAAGAGAGAATTATTCCAAGCGATGAATGAGGCTTTCATATCAATAAATAGATATTAATAACTGCACAGATGGCGTTTTGCTTTTAGCGGTCACCGCTTTCTACTGCGCTATGTGTTGTGGGTTCGATCCTTACCTACATGGACAACGCTTTGTGTGATTCACAAATTGTTGTCCTGCGTTTGGCTGTTATTTGTGTCCGTTACATGTATGTTTGTAAAGTCCTCCTCGACACAGGATATATTCCAAGAGGGAAAGTTGTCTTTAAAAAAAATACCTTTATTCTCTGTGGGGAATTAGAATCTACGTCTTAACATTTAATAATAATATTCTACCACATTTACACAACGCCATCCAGTTACAAATTAAGCAGAGCTTGTACTATAGGTACTAGACAACTGATATAAAAACATATGCATTATTACACATATATACTTTTTTGTTTGTAAATACAAACATATTATACCTTAAAACACCTAGACCAAATCAAACATTAAATGTTCATGCACACAAATGTTTGAATTGAGAAGGAATCGAACCCGCGACCTTTGGCGTCTCGGTCATTGACACAAACCACTACGGCATTCGGCCGTCAGAAAGATGTAGAGAAGAGAATAGAAAAATAAAAATTTTTTATTATCAAATTGTTATAACCATTGTACATATTGTTAACTTCTGTCAAACTGCAGGACAGTTTGTTGGCAGACGTTGCTCCTTATTTAATTAATTTTTATTTAATACATTTAACATATTTCCTTTAAGTACTACATGAAAAAATAATCATCTGTTTAAATATACATTGTATCTTAATTCCTATTACACATTAACATTACT